GGGCCAGAACATTCATCCTGCCCATTTCATCTCTTCAGGAACAGAGACACCTGTGTGCTGCAATAGAATAGCACCTTCACCACGTAATTAATTACAAAGGAATGGGCCAGAACCTCAATTTGCACCTACTAACAGAGCAACACTGAAGTTTACAGAGCTATGTACAATGTAGAAAGCTCATCTATCACTGCTTGAGAAGCTCACCTTTGCATGCTGCGAGGGGGCCAGACCAGACCCCAGAAGAGGTACAGTATACAGATTCCAGTGCACTCAGTTCATAGCCTTCCTCACACTGAACTGTGCAGGATGAGTTGTAGCTGAAGTTCTCCAATGGATGGTTGCACTTAAGGCTCCCATGATCAGGTTTCTTTAGTGGATCACAACTCTCAACTTCAAAGAAACACAAGAAGGTACACAGTCAGTCTCAGTGGCTGAGCAGCTAAATCAACAAGCCAGACAAACTGAACACTAGCTAGCATGAACATCACCCTGGTTGAAAAGCAGGATGGAGTAATCTTACCAAACTCGCATTCAGGCCCATAGAATCCAGGGTTACAATGGCAGGTGTGATTGTTAATAGTCTCTATGCATTCTCCACGGCCACTGCAGAGAGATGGGTTGCAAGAAGCTGGGGGAAAAAAGAAAAGAAAAAAATACAGCAAATTATAAAAGAATCAGCAATAGCCACTAATGAAACCTGGCTAGTGCTTTGTTTATCTTTCTGGCACTGAACAAGCACTTTGTACAGCAAAGGAAAAGCAGGGTGTTTGGTACATAAGATTACCCTGTCATTTCACAGAAGCATTTCAGAAATTAACACCTTTGACAGACTAGCCCACAGTGAAAGCATTCTACTGGTGGGAAACTCCATGACCACTTGTTCTCAGGTAGATATTAGCAATATTTAAAATACAAAACTAACAACATACTATGGGGTCGGTAGAAATCTTCAACAGGTACATTCTTCATTAACTCACCACAGCTCTAATTTGACTGATACTTGACTTGGATTTTTTTTTTTTTTTTGACCTAGCCTTAGCCACCTCCACACAAAGTGTCTAATCTAATCCAGCGGTCTATAGTCAGATGACAGATGCCTCCAAAAGGGCCATTCTTATCTAGCTGAGACACCCACTTGAAAGTGGGATGAAAGTCACCATCTGGAAGAGCCTGTTTCTCTCCACTGATTATGGAGAAGGTCTGGTAATTTGTTCATAAAAGATGTATAATATTCTGGGAGCTAAAAGGTAAGTGAGATCAATCCAGCTCTTAGAACAAGAACAACCTCAGCCCTGTAAGTAAGGATAAGTGTACAAGTGCTTACAGGGTCAGGTAGTTAATACGTAAGATTAGGTTAAACTCATCCCACCCGCCATCTCATCTTCACAGGGGCACACTAGAATGGCCTTTATCATACCATACCTGTGTAGCATAAGGCGACCTTCTTTTTCTCACACTGCTCATCATTCCATTTGCCATCATCCTTCCCTCTTTTGATGTAGATTTCAACGCAGTCCTCGTTGTTCCCTTTGCCATTTGGCTCACCTGAAGCCCAGTTTTTTGCCTCTTCTGTTAGTTCTTTGTTAGTTCCAATCCAGGTCCATACCTCATTAATTTTTCTGATTCCAATCCAGTAGTAACCCGGATTGAAGGGTAAGAAGTTATTGAGATAGTTGATTTCCTCCTTATTCTGAATGGCAACCATGTTAGTATACCTCTTTTTGCACCACAGCTCTGCTTCCCTGTAGGTCATGTTTGTGTCTGAATAATGGTATGTCCAACAATTCACCCCCTGCAGTATTGTAAGTCCTAGAATGAAAAGATGTCAAAAAGTTGATATCTGACTTTTTCCCTCCTCTCGCTCTAGAAGAAGATATATAAAGCTCTTAAATATTGCAGACTTGTCAATATCTGAAACTGCATAAAAAGCAGTGGCAATTATTTTATAAACAAAGAACTGGCAAGCTTCAAAACAGGCATGTCAGCATCAAGTACAGGGACTTCAGCCTGTGAAACTATGTCCAATGACACAAAGCTTTGCAGACTTCATAGCAAACTATAGGAGACAATTACATGTTTGACAGGCAACCAAGGAAACATGCCATTGCAGCTAGAGGTTTTTCTGTGTGAACCTAGCCTCAAGCTAATCAGGTCAGGTTCAAAAACTGTTTAATTCTGAACTGAAACAGAACAGGCACACTAATATTACCATCCAACTAGTTTTCTACACAGAGACATACACACTTACCATAAGCAAGAAGAGATAGGAACCACAAGCAAATCATGTTTCTGAAAGTTCTCTTTATCTTTTAAGCAGACAGCTATGAAAGATCAAAGGAACACATTTGTAAAGAACAAATACTGACTTTCTACAATTCAGTATGAAATACTGACTATGCAATCTTTTCTACATACTTTAACGATTATTCTAAAGACTTAAAAGATTTCCATTTTTAGGAAATTATTCATTTTAAAACAGTTCTTAACACCAAGATAGCTTTTAAATTTAAACAGCTTTTAAAGAACATCAACACAGAATTCCATTTGTCCAGTTTTTCTTTAGCTGAGCAATGAAACAGAATAACACACTCCATTTATACTCACAGATTGCAGTTGTGGTGGCCAGGTGGCAAAAGTCCTCTGCGATACTTCCAGTGAGTGCTTTCTGTTGCTAAGTTGCTGAATACGGACTTGAAGATTAAGTTCAGCTCCAAGTGTCTGGACTGTGTAATCCCCTGCCTTTACTACGGCCTTTTATTCTCTCAACCGGCCTGTCCTCCACGAGACGGGAAATTCCGTGTGGAAAAAAATTTCTTGGAAAATCCCAGGATCTGGCCCTCCCACACATTAAGCCTGATGCTTCCCCTTGCCAGATCAACCCTGTGCTGACAAACTGCCAAGTACTGCATTACATAGTTTTACTGACAGAAACACACAATTCCAGGATATCGGGAAGGAGCAAGATGGTTAGTTTAAGTTAGTTGCATGAATAAGCAGATTCCAACTTTTCACCTAGCATAATGTTTTGCACCAAGGAGGTGCCATTTCTTTTGGTATCTCAGTAAGAAAGGCACCAACGCTCAAAGCTGGTTAAGTAAGTTTGAGTAGAAGATAAAAACTGCAGCATTGGACAAGCCCTTTCTTGTGGATCACAGCACGCTGTGCAGACTTCTCATTTGTGGCAAGGTTTGCCAGCCCCAGGATTGCTAGTACTCTTTCTAGAGTCTTGCTCACAACACAGGTTCATCAGTCACTCGTAGCAGTCAAGCTTGGAATGTGGACTTAGCTTTGAAGAGTCCCTTGGACAATGTGCTCCAATATCCTTACCTCAATAGAGTTACAATTCCTGAATAGGTACATGTAATATTTCACGTGGACAAGACAATACACTTGTCTCATACTGAACCCATGTACATTTATTGTGTATACACTGATTAATTATACTACCGCAGAGAGCAGTCACATGGTGTCCATGGTATGGAGACACACGCCTGAGTAATCATGGACACTTTGCTATAGTGGGTTGGTAAGGGGTCACAGCCTATTCAGAGTGCACCTGTGCATATGAGAAGGCAGTAAGCATGAGGATCACTGACTCCTTGCACAATAGTCTTCCGGCTGCACCACTACACTATGCTCCTTGATCCTCATGCGCACCTTCACATGTATGCCACTTCAGTGATGAGTGACTTGCCACGCTGTGTGCAACAGTAGTTTTGGATATTCTCACTTAAGTATCCCTCTTGCCTCTGTTACAGGAGGTCTCACAAGTACTGTTGAGGGCTATAAGTAGGGAATGGGCATCACAAGTAATAGACATATTAGCTCGATTGTCAGCTGTGCTGGTTTTGGCTGGGATAAAGTTAATTTTCTTCATAGTAGCTAGTATGGGGCCATGTTTTGGATTTGTGCTGGAAACAGTGTTGATAATACAGGGATGTTTTAGTTATTGCTGAGCAGCACTTACACAGAGTCAAGGCCTTTTCTGCTTCTCACACCACCCCACCCACGAGTAGGCTGGGGGTGCACAAGAAGTTGGAAGGGGACACAGCCGGGACAGCTGACCCCAACAGACCAAAGGGATATTCCACACCATGCAACATCATGCTCAGCATATAAAGCTGGGGGAAGAAGAAGGAAGGCGGGGACATTCAGAGTGATGGCGTTTGTCTTCCCAAGTAACCATTATGCATGACGGAGCCCTGCTTTCCTGGAGATGGCTGAACACCTGCCTGCCCATGGGAGGCAGTGAATGAATTCCTTGTTTTGCTTTGCTTGCGTGCGTGGCTTTTGCTTTACCTGTTAAACTGTCCTTATCTCAACCCACGAGTTTTCTCACTTTTACCCTTCCAATTCTCTCCGCCATTCCACCCGGGGGGAGGCAGCAAGCAGCTGTGTGGTGCTTAGTTGCCAGCTGGGGTTAAGCTATGACATCAACCCTGTGCAAAGGCACAACACTAGAAGCTTGTCACAGAGTCCACATTCCCCAGCACTCCCAACCCTGGTCAATACAAAGTGGTATTATTCCCTTGTGCCCTGATCAGCCATGTCACCCCACCCCTTGTTCCATGTCCACTCAGGCACTTACTATGGAGACTCCACCAGACACTCCAGTTGCCAAATTGGTATCCCAGACAAAGATTCACAATTATGGGTGAGGGTTAACAAGGCTCGATATTAAAAGGACTCAACAAGGGCTGTCAGCCATAGGAGGACATAGGGTAGCACCCACTTCATATCTGTAAAGCATAGTTATAGCTTATACAGTGCATGTTGCTCTTATTTTGGAGCCTCCACCTATTCTTACAGAATAAAAATCAGTGGCTCCTGGATCCCAAGCTAAGATCTCAGCTGGTATCAATTCCCAATTTTTTCCACAAAAAATATCTGTCAAGTAGCCATACCTTAATAGATCTCTGCCCAAAGGAATCCATCACAGAAAAGAGGATAGAGTACATTCTAAAACAGCCTCAATTACTATCAAAATATGAGAGTTTACCAGAAATTGCAACAAAGTCCTAGAAAGCATGTCCGAGTCAGTTACGGACTAGAGTGAAGATTAAAAACAACATACTGAATATTTGTAGGAGAGGAACGCTTTCTAGCAGGTGTGAACTAACAAAGCTAGAATCACAAATAAACCACCAAGAAACTCTGGAAAATTGAGGTTAGCTCTTGGCTATGCCACAGATGCATTCTGCAAGCCCAGGTCTGGGCCAGCCTTGCTCAGAACAACCAGACTCCCAGAGACTTCCAGGTAGCATCAGATCAGGACCGCTATTTCTTTAGCCTCAGCTGCTCATCTGTAAATTGGGAATGAAAACATTTCCTGCCTGCCAATCTTTCTCTGTCCGTGTTCTTCAGATTGTAAACCCTCCTAATGGAGGCTGGTACTTTTAATGCACCTGTACTGTATATCATGCAGCGGGGTCTAATTTCACAGGGGTTCTGTAAACATTGTCCTAATACAAACTAATGATAATGTGTTTTGATAGGCCAGCCTTTTTTTTTTTCCTAAAACATTGATCAGCTGTTATAATTGTATACACAGAAAAATTATCGACAACTCCAGAACAGTTTATATCCTCTCTGGAGCCAGAAGGCAGAAAATCTTACACCTTTTCCTGGAGATTCACTTTTTCATGTCGTTTTATGAACTTCCTACTGGTAAGTGCTCATCCTTCTCGTGGCAGAAGCTCTGAAGTTGAGTGGAAGAAACTTTTATCAGAATCGCTTTGCCAGTGGAATCTCTGGAGGAAGGAAGAGAACGTTTCACGGTTTACAATAGTCTTCCTTCACAAGGGCTGTCTGAGACCTCTTGTCTGCAGCAGATAAAAAAACCACACAAAAAAAACAAAACACCAAAGCCTAAAAGCAATATGCCTGTAAAAACTCCAGCCTAAAAAAAGACTGCCTCTTTTTCTTGGCAGTATTCCCTTATACATCACTGACATGGGGCTCTTTTCGGCTTTTCCCAGGGAATTCTGCCATCCACTGATTATCTTTTTATCTCCTTTTAATATAATGGAAGATGACTATAAATGCAAAATTTTCAGAAAAAAGAAAGCCTGAAAAGCGTTTTCAAAAGCATATAACTGAGAGGTTAAAATCTCATTATTAAAAGTCAAAGACACTTAAAAACTTCAACCCTGTTGTTCAGGAAGACTGGGAGTCCTGTGAGCTGAAGCTCATATTGGATCCTAAGTTACATAGGTATTTCAGGAAAAATACCTCTGATACAGTTACTTAGGTTGAACTGGAGATATTCAAGCTAGAAATGCCATCCAGCCTGCCTCTTAGCTGGTTTCCATGTTACTGATTTATTCTTTTCTCATTATTTCACATTTGCACTTTTTTTTTCTTCCTTTGCCAATTGATTTGAGAATATAAGAGCCTTGTTTCTTGTGCTGCACTGAGCTGGGTGCAGTTGTCCACTCTCCTCTTGTGCTACATGAACACAGACATAGTTCCTTAAAATTAATCCAATTCCTTTCTGCCAGAAAAATGGGAAACACTAAATCTAAATCAAGTCAAATTTTTAGAAATGCTGAACACTTCTTGTTCCTATATGCTCCAGACCTTCATTTGCACAAGTGAAAGCCCAGCTTTTCACAAGTGAATGGGAATAGCCTAGATCACCTCTTTTTCCCTTACAGAGAGGTGCCTAACAAGAATTATCTAACAGCAATTAATTCTCCAGTTAGAAGGTTTACTTGATAGCCCACTATGGGACATAAAAGGTAAGAAAAGGCTATATAAACGCATTAGGAGTAAGAATAACAAAAAGCAGCCAGGTCTGCTATTTAAAGAAGGACAGCAATTGACAGAGGACATGTCAGATGTCATTTCTTTCTATACAGAGAAAAGTTAACAGATACTCACTGCAATAGTGTTATGCATTGGGAAAAGAGAACAGGTCAGAGTATGGAAAGACTGGAGTGAAGACTGTTTAGGCTAGTTACAGCTAATCAAGTTACTGTTTAAGGATCCAACCAAATTATCTCCAAACTCTCAGTAATTACATTTGAGAGTACAAGGAAAGGTATAACAGGGCTGACAAAAAGCAAATATTGCATCTCTGTATCTAGGAAAGGAAGATCAAGGTAATTAGAAGCCAGGCCTTCCACACGAGCACCTAGAAAAGATAGTAGAACCATATCGGAAAAATATTAAAGAAAACAATTGAAAAATCAGCAGAAGGCTACTAAGCTGTCAAGAACAGCTGACATTGATATGATTGATTTATTCTTGGCAAGTCAATCTAGTTTGTACTTCAAGGCTGAGT